TCTAGAATGTGGAAGTAATGTGTTTATTAAAGCAACAGAATATAAATTTCTAATGTGTTGCTTTGTCAAAGTCTATAAGTATTGATCTTGAAAATATTGAAATAATTAATTATTTCACTTTATAACTTAGCTAATAGCTTCATTTAATATTTGAAGATCAAATAATAATAGTAATAGGTCTTTTATATCATCCATTAATCTTTAATAGAACTGGCTTACAAGAACTTGTTCATCTCAAATAATGTTATAAGTCAATTCTCTAAAATCAGTTGCATAAATTGATGCAGAGCATGACCTTTGATGTAATGAGTAAATCTTTGTTGTTTTCTATTTGGCCTTGTCATATTCTCTAAATGCCTTTGTAAATGCTTTTAAGAAAGCTTCAAAGTTATTCAAGATTAGAGATTTCTTTTCAAATAAAAGAGAACTAAAATAAGGCTTATCCTATAAAGAAGGTTCCAACTAAATCAATTCATGATTCTTTTATTAGATAGCACTCAGATTGTAAAAAAATTACCAAATAAATTTGATTAACAAATCCTTGAAACCTCAAGCATTGTCGTAATAGAGAGAATTTGCCTTAAAAAAGCATTGGACTTATGGCTATCACTAATTGCTTAACTAAGCCTCTAGATTAAAAAAACACCAAGTCTATATATAAAATTGTCCCTATAAAAGCAACTACATCAATATATAAGCTTTGATTACCAAAATTCCCCAAAAATGTGATAAAAATATTTTAAAATCTTATATATTATTAAGGTGAATTTTTTCTAAATTTCAATAATTCATATCTCACAATATGACCACCTAAACAAACCAAAATTTTACATGAAGTACTGATGTACTTTTAAAAACTATTACAAAAAAAATCAACTACAAATTCGTTATGGATCTTGAAATATTGCCAAAACCCTAATAATAACTTCAAAGCCTTGCTTACATACACTTGTGTGCAATTTTCTTCATATCTCATAAACTAAGTATTCAAATACTATAAAAATTTGATATATAGCTTTTCAACCTAATAATACACAATTCTAAAAATTTTGAGCCAAAACTTCATCCAAAAACTCAAGATATGGCTCCAACCATTACTATTAATAAAATGACTTATTTACTACCTTTGAATTAATTGTGCTGTCTTCAACGCTCTATAACTTCTTCATACAAACTCCAAATACAAAAATTCTTTCACAAAAAATGTAGATCTTTAAATTTCTCTTGTAGTCATATTTTATAATCTCCAAAATATATCATAAAACTCCTTATATCTTCAAAAGAAAAAAAGTATATCTTAAAAAGATACTTTATCTTCAAACAACTATAATTTCATCACCTTAATTCCAAATCCTCTAAACTTTTCACAAAAATTATAGTCCAAATTCTAAACCTTACAATCCTAGCTTTTGATTTTCAAATGTCTCTTTTGAAGTTGCCAAAACTCTTATTATGGTCGCAAATAGCCTGCTAAATGCCTATTGGATATGCCCTTTGACCAATGGAGATGAAGATCTTTGCCTTTTGCCTTCATCCATCCATAACTTGCTTTCATTCCTCCAAATAAGTTTCTTAGAATTTTGGATCTTCATCTTTGAGTCCCAATCTTCTCTTTAAGTTTTATACTAAATATCTAAATCTTATATAATTTAAACACTATAATTAATATAAGTAAATCCTAAAATATTTTTTTTATATCAATTCTCTTTAAATTAACTTACTAACTATTTTAAATTACATTAATACTTATAAATATATTATCTATTTTAGTTAATTATTACATATTATAAATAATTATAATACAACAACTTGTACTATTAAACTTTTTTAAAAGATTAATCTAAGGCTCTTTTTGTTCTTGAATAAGAGAATTTTCTTATTGCGGTATAGGTGCCACTACCTCCTTGGATGTATAAGCTTATGGAAGTAGTTGCATCATAGGTTGATTTGCTATAGGTCTTCTATCACCATAAAATCTAACAAAAAATCCCTCAATTTCAGCAATTCTATGAGCTAAAGCATTGAATATATTTATAATAACATCTAATTTAGATAAGAGATTCAATTATATTAACATCTTCACCTCTACTATTTTAAAAAAGAAAAAAGAAAATTTTTAAATAATATTAGTTTAAAAGAGGGTACTTTGCAACTTCTAAAGTGCTTAGATGCCTTCAAAAAGAAGAGTAGTCTACTTTCTATTAAGAAAGATTAAGCTTTAGTATTGATAAAAAGATAGTCTTAACAAACTGTCACAAATACATTATATAAGAGACCAAATAAGAAGTTGAATGGAAGAATTTCTACAAGAAAATTAATAAGAACTTGATTAAACCAAATAACTACAAGTTCAATACCAAGAAAGATAAACTGGAACTTCAAAAGATGTATTGTCAAGATTGAGAATTCTTTCACCCTCAATTCCAATATGTATTTGGTATTGAAAAGCTTCTCAAGAAGTTCTCATGTTTCTTGAAGATGAAGCAACCTTAAGAAGCTTCTCAAAAAGTTCATATGTTGCTTGAAGATGAAGCAATCTTAGGAAGCTTCTTGAACAACTTCTTTAATCTTCATAGAATTTTTTAGAACCTATTAAAATATTCTAAAAATCTTCTATGAATCTTTTAGAACCTTCTAGAATCTAATAAAATATTCTAAAATATTACTAAACTCTTCTTATTAGATGTCTATAACAACATTTTTTTTTCTTTGAGGGAAGAAAGTACTTCTTTTTCTTCCCTTTCCTTCATCTCCCTCTATAAGAGAAGGAAGCATCCATTCTTCACGAGAGATAATAATATAGGCTTATCAATGGATAGTATACAACACAAGTCAAGCTGTGGGGTACTACTATCGATTGGATAAGTGATGAGCTTCTTGGTACAACACGATTCAAAGAACAGAAAAAAAACAACTTCTTGAACTTTGTCTTCCAAGTTGAAAACAAAGGAATGGCCTTCCAATCTCTATCTTTTGGCCGAGAAACAAGAAAATAGCTAAAAACAAAGATGAGACAACAAAAATAAGATGAATTGCTTTAGTAAAATTTTAGATTACTTTATTATTTTCCAATCTATACATATACATACTTACATACATACATACATACATGTACATAATTATAATTTTATACATATGTACTCATAAATAACTTCATCCACACCATGTTTTGCAACACATACACAAATCCATCTACCATAATGGAAGTTAAAAGACGAAAGGTGGGCAACGAGGCGTTCACCGTCGCGACGCCGTCGAAGTGTTCGCCGTCGTATTCGCCGTCGCGATGCCGTCAACGGCAGTTATGCGTTGAAATCTCCGACGCCTCCTTCCCCGGCCCCACTAAAACCGTACTCCGTTGTTCTCCAGTCGCGCGTCACAGAGTTCAAGGGTCAGGCATCGCGACAGATCTCCCGACAGATTCAAAGCGTTCCTCTCAAGGCCGCTGAGCTTGAAGGATTTCCAACGCAAGCGTCGGGTTCCAAAACGATCCGGAGACCAGCAGCAATGCCTGTCCAATGGGCTCTGCGTTGAGCTTCTAGATGATGCTTGCCTGCGCGTCGGGCCCCTTCGTATCCATCTCCGACACACCCGTTACGTTGAGTTACATGTGCGTATCCAGGGCTTACAATTTGTCTTGTTTACCACACTGGGTGGTTCATGATGTAAGTTGCACAATTCGATACCCACTTGATACCAACTCGCAGTTGCACAACTTTGTTCCTCTCTTTGTCGTACCTTTTCTGCTGGCTATGGCTGTCTATCCGCGAAGTTCTGCTGTCGTAGCTCAAGCATTTCCTCTCTGAGAAACCTGGATTATCGTATCGGTTGTGGGCCGACTCTTACTCGACCTTCTCATTCTAACTTCGCAAGCATCTAAACATGAAAAATTTGTCGCTTGGAGTACTAAGAATTGTGGGGAATGCGGGAATTCTTCTGAGCTAATCACAGAGCTTAGGGACGTACGAGTTACGAGCATGTATTATCATGAGGTGTAGATGGGTGCATTTTCTACCTTAATGCCTTCAGTAAGCGGAAACTGAAAAAAAAAAAAAAAAAAAAAAAAAAGGGGGGGGGGGGAGCAGGGAAGAAGGAGCGCCGAGAATTATACTAGTAGCAATAACAAGAAGGTCGGAGTGCAATACAACTAATCTCATTCTGAGTGCCATCTCCACAAAACCTGGCCAACGGGATACCTCCTGGAGCTGCTCTTCTATCGACTTATGTAGGGAAATACATAATCAGAAGTGTGACCAGATGTGCGCTCCTCTACATTCAGTACAAGTACTACATCTAGCTCTTCGCACTAGACCTAAATCATAATGGGTATTACACCGTTGAATATTTCATCACCACAACGATCATCCACCACCCCAGAAAGCAAGTTTTCCAGCTTGATTCCCTTAATGTGCAGTACTTCACCCAAGTAATCGCCACCGCTTAACAGTATACAAGTGCAGCATAATCTCAAATGCCGGCCATACTGATTGGCGAGTTAGCAATAGAAGTGTCGTCATAGCGGAGGGAGACCACGAGAAAGCAGTGCACTACAGTCGCAGCGGGGCTGGTAGTAGAAGGGGAGTACACGTTCGTAGTACAAGATTGTTCACATGAGTTCATTGGGTGTATTGCGAAACTGCAGAAACCTGAGGCCGAGAATCACACTGGGAGGTTGACGAACTCTTGTGGAGTGTACTATAATTCCTGTACTACTAGATACTCTGGACATGAGGTATATTCCTGTATCCGATAGTGGAGGCAAGCAGATTTTCGCTTCATCCTCGCGGCGGACGTCTCTAATCGCAAGCTGCGCCGACACGGAATGCCCGGACATCGAGGGTAAAATCCTCCTGTTCTATCAACGTAGAATATGTCAATTGACGTAAAAAGAGATTTAGATTCTCGCAACATCCAACGGCTCCTAAGTGTCTGAAAAAATAAACTTACGAAACCCTCCGCTGGACGCAAATGTTATTCAATCCTTATCACCGACAACGTGGTATCTGTGAATTGGGACATATTAAGCTCATTTGATATACAAATTACATTCTTCACAACATAGAAGATATGGATGATATTGGGATGTTATGCAGTGAATATCACTCAACGCAAGGGCAGTAGCATCATATAGTCCTAGCATGATAAATTTACAGCCTATATTCTTAACGCTGATGAGTAGCTACGAATCATCATCTCTAGTTGCTTCGCTGCTATCCTTGGCGACTGATTGTGAAAATTTCTCATCCCATAGTTTCATCTCCACTCGGCTAATATCCTCTGCCGAGATCGATTCTTCTACTTCTCCAGTTGCTTTAGAAGCCTTGATGAGCAGGAATAAGTACAGGATGTAAGAAAACATACATGACTACTATGCTTTATCACAAGCTTTAAGACCATCCAATGCCAAGGTCTGTTAAACATTCTACACTTCCAGAGCATCTGACATTCAAATGGTGCTCATCTGGAGAATTAGTATGTGATAATCAATGATTCATATGTGTGGTCCAATCTCTGCATGTACAGATAATTCTCAATACGCATGAAGTTACTGAAACATAATAAGAACCACTCACAATAGAAGAAGATGACTCAGCAACAGATCTTTCAGCCAATTGTTGCAACCGCAGCAGCAGGGTGTCAGCGCGCTCCTTAATCTGCTTCACTTGATCGCGTGTGAACAGAGCTTTGGAAATGCCCAGGTCTTCAAGCCCTTCACTACTGGCCGAAATGTCAAGCTGCAAAAACCTTATCCTGTTATATTATATAAGCCTATCCTGTTACTTAGAAAAAAGACACATATCAGAACCTACGCAAGCCCAAGCATAAATTGTTGCATTAATTCGTGAGTATCATTGTCATCTGGATTGAACGCATCTTCATGTTTTAAAAGAAATTGCTAAACATCAGCTCAAGTAGTACCCAACAAAGATAAACAACTCCAATGCAAATACGCTTTCAGTAACAGTGTCACTAAGCAAACCTTCCGAAATTAAGGATAAAACAAACCATGCATATGTCCTCGTTAAGTACCAAGAAGATACCACATCTTATCGAATTACGCTGTAACAATCAAAGTTAGTCATGGTGGAGTACAAGAAACCAGAAGACACATCAATAAAGAGGACAAGTCACAAGTTTCTTAAGAACCAAGCACAACGATTACGCAGATGAAGCCAAATGCAAAACTTAGATGAGATAACAAGAAAAAATTATCACTTGCCAATACAGCAACCGAAAGAAAAAGGCGAGCAAGCAACGTTACCTCTGAAAGTTTCATTGGTAAACGATACATGAATGCTGAGAAAGCAGAGTCAGCTCGTCAACTTTTACATGAGGTGACATTATTATATCATAAGCACACATGTGAACTTCCAAATTTTATTATGTAAGATGAGGAACAGGTTGAAGATAAAAGCCACACTAAAGTACATAGGTGCTTGAAGAAGGAGAGATCTGTGCTAATGTATAAAAGTATCTCGTTGTTTGGCTATCCCTAGACCTCTATGATCGTCGTCGTAAAGTAGATGTTATGCTTGAGTGACAACTGGCGGAGACTACAATGACTACACAACCTGCAGATGTGACGGTGGAAACACCACCAAAGCCAGGGCACTTACTGAAGTACGAAAAACTGCAAAGAATTTATGAAGTCGTGTAGCTTCAAGTTGATTCGGCCACAATACGACCTTCATCTAGAATCACGTTGTTGCAAGACAATCTGTACCCAACTTGGCGCAGTTGGTAAAAGAGACTCTCTTTGCTTGTTCCTCAGATTAACACTAAACCATAGAGGGACATTATCGAGCACTATAGTATATGGACCTTACGGCATGGGAATCGATCGTAAAAGCTTCAGTAAAACGAAGAGCCGAGATCGGTTTCAGAACATTAAAAAATACCTACACTAATTGCAACGACAAGCTTGCCAAAGGAAAGAAAAAAACTAAAAAATCAAAAAAATATCTAGTGGTTGACAGTCACAAGCCCTCAAACATTTTGACCTCATACATAAGTCTTTACAACCCATTGTCTTACATTGCAAACACAATAACTCAAAACCATAATTCCTCAAAGTGCTTGAAATTAGATACATCGCTTTGTGTTAATAGCAACTTAGCATTTACCAAACGTTGTGAAGTTGGGATACAACAGGTCTTTTAGTTGAAATTAAAAGAAGTTACCTGAACATGGAGAATGCAGGCAAGTACACTCGCAATAGGGAGCCAGCTCTCTTCAGGTGAAAGTGAGAGTCCTGATCTGCATAGAAATGTATAGAAAATAAATTGAAAACGAACATATGAAATCCCTAGATCAATGTCGCAGTTAGGAGTTGAACAACAAATTCTATAAATTAATAAATTACTCTTAGTCATGAGGAAATGAGGCAAGACCATTCGCAAAAAACATCTCAACCACCAAAAGAATACTACCAAGCACAACCTACTTCTCTCTGAACTACAGAATCAAACTTCAGGAGGGAAAAAATTTATACCTCAAATAAGGAGCGATATATACAATAGCATAAATGAGATAACGTTGTTTTCTAGTATCTAGCCATGCAAACACCCATGCCTGCACGGAGAAGCATACCTTTTAATACTGACGATAAACGTTTTAAAATCACAATAACATCCTACTGGCATAAACATGAAATAAAAGTATAAGGCCAGCCTAAATTTGTCCGACAACGAAAAGATCATGACCTTAGAAGAATCAGGTAGCTACCAGCCAGTTAAACAAAGGAATGAAGCTTATTATGCCCATTGCTGCGTATCGAACATCATCTCCTCCGAGAGGGGAAAGACTTTCGCTTCCCTTCTCACTTGGAGAATCCGGGGGAAGAACGAGAGTGCTTAACACAGAAGCCGCAATAGCTAAAGCAAAGGGCGCATCATCCTCAAGACCAGCTCTGCAAATGCCCGTCCCTCGGTGCTGTACACTCTGAACATATGTATATCGCCACTGCTCACGTTAAGAAAACCCATACTTCAGAAGCCTGTAAACCTCTCCTTGTCGCACATGCAGAATAAATTCCCACAGAAGCAATACTTTTAGAATCTTGATTAAGGGTTTCAAAACGCAAACCATGGGCCCGTTCATTTGTATCCAACCATACTAGAAGATCATGATCAACCTCCACACACCCTTTAAGTGACGAAGACATTATAGAAACGAGTGTATCCCCAAGAGGAGGCAAGAACAAGAAACAAATAAAATTATGCAGAGAAGTCTTTCACCGGTACCGTCGCTGGGAATCTCACTACCTGAGTCCAATTCGAATTGCTCCCTTCCTTCCAGACATGTCTACCTGCCATTACATCACACACACTCGCCCATAAGCTCGCAAACCCCCCACCAAGCGCACAATTACACAGCCTTGCAAACCAAACAAACAAACGAAGAAGGAAGAATTCGACGCACTTATCAGTCCCGCCGATGACTTCTTCGCCACAAGACCCCGAAGCACAGTGTCGGGAAGTCCTCCATAGCCAGGCTTACAGCACAAAACTTGCATCGCTGCGCTCACACGCTCTCTCCTCCGCGCTATAACCTCAAAGGGCCCTTTCACTCACAAGCACAGGACGACGAGCCAGAATGAGCACAACACCTCACGGCGATCGTCGTAGCAATTGCTGCAACAGCAAAACACAGGAATCGACAGATAACCTAATGGAAGTGAGGGGGGAATTGTGAGCATTCGATCACAGGATTGCGAGTTGGACGCTGAATTGGATGGTGGAATTGTGAAAGTTTTTCTTCTTTCCTTTCCTTTGCTTCGCTTTGCTGTGGGCGCTGCCCAATTGGCCGTTGTTTGCTAAGGAGGGAGGAAGGCTGAACGAATTGCTCCCGTCAGTGCCTCCGCATTGCTGTTCTCCCGCCACGGCTGCGTGCTGAAATTTATTTGTATTTCTATGTGAATACATGCGTTTCTAGGTTATGGTGCTCTTCCCAATAATTTATCTTCCTGAAACTAATAATCTTTAATAATTAATCAAAATTTTGGGGATTGGTTCCATTTTATGTGTAATTAGTAATCTTTGCTTTTTAATAATTGATTGTTTTTCATTGATAGAGGTGAGCATTTCTTTGCAATTGGGCAACAAAAGGCCATGTGATTACAAGGGCAAAAAGTGAGGTTGGTTTGTAGGGCTTTCAGAAGATTGATTTCTTTTGATTCATGCATATAGCCACAAGGGAATACTTTGATGATGCTAGGAAGAAAGGCATCACAGTTTGCTAAATCTTTTCTATCAAACTCATTCTTAGTGTGGCATTAATGTCACTAAATCAAAGCCCTAAGAATCATGATGTCTTCTTTATCTTCTAGCTCTAGTGTGACCCCTTTGTACATAAAAGCTCGTAGAGATTTCTTTGCACTTCTATTTAATTTCTCATAAATGATATTAATAGGAAGTTATACCAATTTGTAAAGTTTAGTAATCTTATGGCTAAGCATTATATTGACTTCTTAATTCACATTCACAATGAGGCTCTCAATGTGAACTAGTAGTTTGCTCTCTAGCATAGCCAATGATAAGCTAGTAAGCTTTTTATCCAATGCCACCATTGATAATTAATAATCTTTAATAATTCATATTTTTTCTAGCAACCAATTATATTAATCAATAGAAGAACACCATACTTGTAAGGCTCAAAAATGTCACAATGAATTTAGCTAATTGAGTTTAAATTTCATGCATGTGAAATTTGTATCCAAAGATCAAAATATATTTGTATGGCATATATTCAATTCAACTTTAGATGTAAATAATATTATTTATATATTGTTTCTACATAATTAGATAAACTTTGAATGTTTTGGTTTTGAACAATTATATCCTCTAACGATAGTAAGTGATGTAACAAATTTGTATCACATAGCACTTAAAATTTCAACAACTATTTATTAAAAAAGAAATAAAAAACAATTAGAAGTCCATAATTGTAGCTACTATAATGATTTCTTCTTAACAATGTTGCACAGTAATCTAACATCTCATTGCACATTATTTTATAAATATACATTAGTATTAGATGCTATTAATTGTTGATTTGGTGATTATATTTGTAATAATGTAATAGATAGAGATCCATCTATATTTGAAATCTAAAAATATATATGTCTATGGTTATTATCTTTAAAACAAATAGCGATTTCTTTTAGTTATAGATTACAAATAAAAATTACAAATAAAATTAGGTTTATCAAAAGTATATATAATAACCATAATTTCTATGTAGGAATAGAAATATATAATAATCTAGATAAAACAATGCTTGTTAAGTGGATAAGTAGCTAACTTTTTACCTATTGAATTTAAGAGAATAATATTTTTAATAATACTTTTGTTGTTTCTAATACTATTTATTTATTTATTTATCAAGATTAATGTATTACAATACCTACAAGTTATATATATGTAGTGTGTTCTACAACAATTGCATTCTTTATTAATTGAATATTCTATATTAATTAGTTTGTATAATAGAGATATTATATTTAGATGTTTTTATAAAAAATAAGAAAGAAAGAAAGAAAGAAAGAAAGAAAGAAAGCAATTATAGACATAAACAAGGAAATCAAAGAGATGAAATTTTATTATTATTTAAATTCTACTTAAGAGTTTCAAACACTCAATTTGACAAATTCAATACTCTTACTTACAATATAAACAAAGATATTTATTTGGTGATACAAATTTTTTTGTATGTAATATGTGTAATTTCAACATAGCAAATGTTCTTATCTACTTTTATTTCTACAAATGAAAAAGCTAATTTATTGTTATGTTTGTATACACGCATACATACAAAATATCTAAATAATAAAGTAATAAAATTGTTGCAAATCATACTATATATTTGTAATCTATTGGTGCAATTTATTTGTAATGTAAAGAAGCAAATACAACAAAATGAAAAGAAACTTTAGATTGACTACTAGGGTTTTGGCAACATGATGTTTGGAATTGTAGTACATTCATTTTTAGATAAAACTAGACACAAAGATATCTATCAACTACTGTATATAGTAATTTTTACAAATTAAAAAATAAAACCCATTTTATTATTTAAATTTATGTGCTGAATGCAATTTATGTGCTAAATGCAATCTTTATAGAACTTGTAAATAGAAAACAATTACAATCTTTGTCAATAACTGCAGATGGATGAATATTTGACTCCATTCTGGGACTTTATAATCCATACGTATCTTCATCATCCATACGTATTTTCCATCCCTCTTACTTTCTCACCGATGACATAATTCATCCAAAATGTATCATCCATCTACAATGAACTAGAGTCCAGCAACTGCATGCGGCGCTGTGGCGGTGATGGGTCGAGCGGAGCTATGGCTTTTTGAAGAATGAGTTTGGAGCAATCTGTGTCTAGGAGTAGGCTCCACTCTGTCTCCCTCGAAAGGATCTTCTAATTTACATTACCCAGTCAACCAAATTTGAGCTCCCTCTTTGGCAGATACATAAAATCTGGAGAATGAGACATACGCACCGTGTGTCAACTTTGTTATCGCACTCAGGATGAGATCTCTGCATTTTTAACAAGTGATGGCGTATAGATGTGGCTTTGATACAAAAAGGTTGGATAAGTTTAACTGATCACTCCATGTGCGGTAGAAGGCCTGAACTGTTCCGTCGTACGTGAATCCACGAGAATCTTGATAAAATAGTTCAGTTGCCAGGAGGAGATTCGGCATCGACGGAGTTGTATGGAAGGAGCTAAGTGATTTAGATGGATGGTTTGTGCTCTAGTGGGTTGAGTAACTGGTGAGAGACGCAAGAGTGTCTAAGGGATCCAGGAGGATACAAGGCTCGGCGCGTTGAGGCCCTGTTGTGTAGGAGAGCCAGGCTGGGGAGTTCACTTGGATCTGCTCGATGGTGTATGAGAAAGAATACTAAGAATGATAATAAAGCATGAAGTATATTAATAAATAACTTGATTACATTATAATTATAATGATAAGAGCCTATTGTAATGTTTCATGGAGAGAAGTAGTTATAACTTCTCCATAACTACTTAAAGGTAATTTTATATTTACTAATATGTATTAATTAATCTAATATATATTAATAAATCTAACACCCCCTTAATCATCATAGACTAGATTTTATTTGAATTATTGATGTTAATTAAATCTTTCATGAAATGGTTGTGCTTGGATTTTGGAAGTGACTTTGTCATTATATTCCCCTTCATTTCATTTGTAGGAATAAACTCCAAGACAACTTCATTTGCCTTTAGTTTTTCTTGAATATAATGGTACTTGATATCAATATACTTCGCGCAATCATAGAAACATGGATTTCATATCATTGCAATACATAATTGATTATCATAATAAATTGTGCTTGGTAAACTTACTTGATGTCCAAGAGTTTGAAGCTACATCAATTCTTTTAAAGATGTTACTATCATAATATTCTTTTAAAGATGTTACCATCATAATATTCCACTTCTATACTTGATTGTGCTACCATGGCTTGTTTCTTAGAGTGTCAACTCAAAAGAGATGAAAAGCAAAGAAAAGACATAGTGATGTCATTTCTATGATGAAAGAAAAAGTCTTGTGATAAACAAGGCCTTCTTGTTGCAAGAAACCTTGAGCAATAAAATGTGCTTTAAATTGTACTAAAGAACTATCAAAATTATGTTTCTAATAGAAGAGCCATTCAATATTCAAAATAGAATGATTAGAAGATTGAGGTACTAACTTCCATGTACTATTCTTGATTGAAGAGTTGTATTTACTTTCCATAGCTCAATACCAATGAAGAACATCTTCACTTGCCAGTGCTTCACAAACCAAAAGTGGATCCATCAAAGTAGTTAGAAACCTACTAATATATAAAGTAGTGTTGTTAGCCTTAGGCACTATCTAAGTTCCATGAATGATATGTTTAGATTATCAAAGTGGTTTGTCCTTCAACAAATCTCATAGAGTATCAATAGAAGGAATGTTAGATGAAGAAGGCATAGAACTAGAAGTGCCATTAACCTCATCATTGAATGGAAGAGCTTTAAGAGGGGTTGGTGAAGAAACTTTGAGTTTGTCTCTCAAAGTAGCCTCTTCATGACCACTAAGATCTATAAATAATAGAAGTTCAAAAGCAAAGATTGAACATAAGAGAAGTTCATTTGGGTAAAAAAGAAGAGATTGTATTTTTAACTCAAATGAAGTTTCCAAATTATGTAAATAAAGAGGCATATCTTGTGGAGTCAATGGAGCCAATAATAAAGGTGAAATAACCATGGGAGCCACCTTTGGTATTGTGAGTGATATATAAAGTGTGTATAGTGACTTTGGTGTGTTAAATAATACCATATGCTTCACAATAAATAGAATAGGAGGATTGTTTACCTGTTCTAAAAGAAAAAAAAAACTTTATAGAAATAAAAAGATATAATAATGAATCTTTATTGAAGATCACAACTTAATTCACAAAGAGCTTATGGATTTCTAAATCATAAATCCAATGACCATTATTACGAAGAAGTTTGACATAGCTGAGAAAAATAAGCATTGACAAGTGAGAGGGTTAAGTTTTGAATGTTTAATATTAGATATTTTTAGCAAAAATTAACATCCAAAAACTCATAAGTGATAGAGGTTTGGTTTAATTTTGGTCCATTGTTTATAAGAAATAATATCCAGCAAAGAAGAATGATGGCATAGGTTTTGTAAATAATAAGCAATAAAAATTACTTTGGCCCAATAACTAATATTGAAATTAGTTGTATATAACATTGTATAAGTCAAATTAATAAATAATCGATTTTTATACTCAACTATAGCATTTTGAAAAGGGATGTAAGG